GGAAAAGTCCAATAATCATAGTATGTTACATAGGATATTAAATAGTATATTATAAAGTAGATTATATAGTAAATTATATAGTATATTGAATAGTATATTATATAGTACATTAGATAGAATATTATATAGTATATTAAATAATATACTAAATAGTATACTATATCGTATATTATATAATATATTATCTAGTAAATTATGTAGTATATTATCTAGTATATTAAATAGAATATTAAAAAGTATATTATTTAGAAATATATGGTACATTAAATAGTAAACTTCATAGTATATTTTATAGTATATTACATAGTATATTATATAGCCTATTATATAGTAATTTAAATATATTATATAGTAAATTAAAACGTATATGATATAGTATATTATATAGTAAATAAAAAGCATGTGATATAGTATGTTATATAATGTGTTTTATAGGGTATTATAAAGTATATTGTATAGTAAATTAAATAGTATATTGTAAAGTATATTAAATAGTATTATGTATAGTATACTATATAGTATTTTATTGAGAATATTATATAGTATAATATAAAGAATATAATATAGTATATTATATAGAAATACATAGTATATTGTATAGTAAATAAAAAAGCATATTATATAGTATGTTATATAGTCTATTATATAGTAATTAAAAAAATATATTGTAAAGAATATTAAATAGTATATTATATAGTATATTGTATAGTATATTAAATAGTATATAATATAGTTTATTACATAGTATACTAAATAGTATACTATATACTATATTATATTATATATTATCTAGTAAATTATGTAGTATATTAAATAGAATATTATATAGTATATTATCTAGTATATTAAAAAGATTTTTACACAGTATAAAATATAGATATTATATAGTATATTTTTTAGTATATTATATAATATATTAAATGATATATTATTTAGTATTTGATATAGTATATTATATATTAAATTGTATAGTATAATATCTAGTAAATTAAATAGTATTTTAAAAAGTATATTGTATAGTAAATAATAAATCATATTATATAGTATGTTATATAGTCTATTACATTGAAATTTAAATAGTATATTAAATAGAATATTTTATAGTATATTATATAGCATAATATATGTTATATAATATAGTATATTAAATAGTATATTATATAGTATTTTATCTAGTATATTATCTAGTATATTATCTAGTATATTATATAGTATATTTTATAGTTTATTATATAGTATATTAAATAGTATATTATATAGTATACTATATAGTATATTATATTGGATTTTGTCTGTTCTCTTCTCTTCTCTTCTGTGCTGTTTATCTTTGCATATCTCCGTGAACACAGAGTGCAAAACTAGTGGCTGCGGGTCAGTTCACCCAGGTTCCCCTGGCATCTAAAAGAGCTGCTATAGAAATAGATGTTCATTCCCCAACATATCTGGTTGGTGGTTGACCTACCCCCCTGAAAAATATGAGTCAATGGGAAGGATGACATCCCATATATTATGTATATGAAATGGGAAATAAAACATGTTTGCCAAACAAAGGGACAAGGTGAGTTGGCACCGTTCCTGGCTAAACTTTTGAAACCACCAACCAGAGATGTTTCGACCCTCACATCACCAGAAGGTGTTTTTTTCTGTACCTGGAGGATCATCCCACGAATCGCAAGTGGTTCAGAAGCCGAGTGATCGTAAGTCCCTGATTTGTAGGTTTGTCCCATTCATAAAATTATGATATGTACAATATATACAAATGGGCGAACTAGCTATGGTTACTTTAAAGGTTACAAACCACTGAAAAATCCGTGGTATGATCCTCTAAGTATCATCTTTATCCATCCGTGTGTTGATGTTATCCATCCCCTACACCCCGTGTTGCGGCCTCTCTAGCTTGCGACAACAAGCGTGCAGTCCCAGCGGCTCCTGGGGAACAAAAAAATTGCACGTGGCAAAGATGCAGAATTTCCGAGAACATCCAAGAATTGCGTCCAGGTTTATAGTTTTGACACATTATTACCCATAGGATCCATGTATGGTATATATGCTAACATTTGGGGTATATTGATGGTAAATGTTACCATATATAGCATGCATGGATCCTATGGGTTAGATATAAAATATAAATTGATGTAATCTCAAGCCCCATGAATTTGCCATTAGGGTGTGATGGCTAATTGGGGAAGTACCTAAAGTGAGTAGCAAATGATCACAGTTTGGGGGCACAGTTTGGGTGATTTTTCATCCGGGGTTGACAGGAAACAACCAGATTGGTTCCCCCAGTGAGACTAGATTTTCATAGTATGATTAGTTAAGTAACCATTGAATAGTTGTCTAGTTCACAACACTTTTCTATGACAAATACTACCTGAAAGCAGATTTCGTCCCTTTATACTGGTTGGTTGAGAACGGATTTCCAATTCATAGATTGTGATACTCCCCAAGAATAGATGATAGTTAGTATAGCCCCACTATTCATCAAGCAACAACCATTTATCAAGTTTCCCAGTTTGATCAACTAACATACCCTATATATATTGGAGTAAGCCTGGGAGTATAAACACTCACCAGAAACAAGATGAAAATCGTGGTTTCGGCCCTGGCCAAGCAGCCGGCCGAACCCCCGGCAAACTAGGCGGCAACATGCCGGTCAAGTTAGCAAAAATCCGAAGCAAAAAAGAGCAGCAAACCGAGTAGAAATGTTGCCTCAAAAGGCACAACCTGGCACCAACATAAATTATTTATCATTATTTGCTTCCAAGTTGGGATGCGCCTGGCATCACTTCAATAGTTCACTGCCGGACACCAGGTGCATACCGGGTTTTCATTATCGCTTTTAGCGCCTGCCAAGCTGACGGTTAAAGGTCTCAAGCTTCCAGCGCCGCGCATTGGACTGGACAAGTTGGTTGCGTGGGCCTTGATTTCACAGCAAAGCTGCTCAAGCAGCCGCCGCCCCTCAGGCAAGCAGTGCTGAGCTGACAATTCAGCTGAAAACTGTTTTGGAAAAAGAACGCTTAAATTGTGACTATATAGTTGTGACAGGTCTTGCGTTGGAGACGGCGGGGGCTTGGCAGAAACTTGGGAAAAAGAACTTGTAACTTGATGCAAACCTGACGGCTTCGCGCTAACCTTGCAGAAGCCCGAGGCTGGCGGAACCCCGCCGGGAACCTACCAAAACCCGGCGAAGCCGGGCGGAACCCGGCGGAACCTGGCGGAACCTGGCGGAAACCTGGCGGAACCAACCACCCCCCCCCTTCAACTAACTTTTTTTCCGTCAGGTTTCCGCCAGGTTTCCGCCGGGTTCCGCCGGGTTCCGCCGGGTTCCGCCGGGTTCCACCGGGTTCCGCCGGGTTCCGCCGGGTTCCGCCGGGTTCCGCCGGGTTCCGCCGGGTTCCGCCGGGTTCCGCCGGGTTCCGCGGGGTTCAGCCGCTCCGCTGGGTTCTGCTAGGTTCCGCTGGGTTCCAGGCTTTCGCCAGGTCAGTTCCGCCGGCTTGTGCCGGGTTCTGCCGTTTCCGCCAACAAGGTTCCTGCTACCGACTCCCCTTCAATTCATTGCTAGGATTGTGCCAGGTTCTTGCCAGGCGTCTGTCAAGGTTGCAGCAATCAAAGAAGCGTTTTTTACAAGTGCCCGGACATTGTCCAAGTCGGCTTATGGAAACAAGATGGAAGCCACGAACCCGAATGTATTCACGTTCTTGGGCTACGAGTCCAAACCTCTGCAATAAAAAAGCAAACTCTTTTTTCCACGCATCGTGCGCTCATTGTCGCAGCGAAGGCACCTGATGACAGACGACTAGATGATTCCAGGGCCAACTTACACAGAGACACAGAAGAACAGAAGATGACAGAATACCAAGGGTTCAAAGTTTGCATGTTTGCTATAGATATGCTTGTTCCGTATCTAATGCAAAATTCCAGGTGCCAGTCCGCGCCTTCTACTGCGAAAGTCCATGTGGCAACTCGTCTTCTGCTGCAGTTGGCTGCAATGATCGCAGTCCATCATCAGCCTGCGACAAGGTCAGATGCAAGTTTTTCTGCCACGCCCGCTCTCTAGTAGTTTTTCATCCAGTTCCGCTGACCGTGTGATATGTGCATGGTAATGAACCGTGTAAATAGAATTCCAGAGCTGCTTGTGCAAACTGACCTCTCAACAACATTTGCTGTGTATTTCACCCTGTTTGACAACTGCATTGCTGTGAGAGGAAAAACAAATTATGTCCGATGCAGTTCTGCAGACGGGTTGTATCTGTATGGCAATCAATCTCTCTGAAAATCTTAAATGATTATTGATTATCCATGTATTGCAAAATGTGATCTGAAAGCTGAGCAGGACTCGTGATCATTTACAAAATGAAACTTGTCCAAGTCACTGCGGTCAAGCGCAAGGCAGCCAGCGCCAGACAGCCAGCAAGGTTTGCACTCCCAGTATCTCAGTGACCGATTGCAGAAGACACGCCAGCAAGACACGCCAGCAAGACAAGCCTGGAAGACAAACCTGGAAGACAATCCTGGAAGACATTCCTGTAAGACACTCTGGGAAGACGCTCTTAGAAGACTCTCCAAAAACGTTCGCGTGACTTTACTTCTCACTGAGGCCGCGACTTTCATTTTTGATGTTCATCCGTTCAGCTCACAACGCAGGGACTGAGCCACTGCGGTGAGTACATCTCTCCAGTCATGGATTCGCCTTTGTCATTGCTTCCGCCAGAGAAAGCGGCAGTTCCGGCAATCGAAAAGCGCTTTGAAATCCACTTTCAAGATCCAGGAAAACAAGTTCAAAATGCTGATAAGAGATGTTGTACAAGCATATGCAAGCTTCCGCTCCATCCATGGTGGCTGCATAAGAATGCAAAACACTCGCAGCACCGTGTGATCCCTGCTGCTTGACTTGAACTGGTTCGTTTCCAAAGATGCAAAAACACACATGTAATTCCTGGGACAAAATGTCCACGTCAGTATGCGTTGCCCAATGGTTGTTGCCGACCTGGCTGATGTTGTCAGCCACAGCTCGCTGCATTTTTGTCAGCACATCCCTGCCTGCATCTATTCTGCTGCACAAGGTTTGGACTCTCGCCATGCTTGCAATGCAAAATCAATGTGTTGGCTGCGTCCAGCGTCAGGTCATGAACACTATTGACGCCTTGCAGAAAAGCAAACGGTGTGTTCGCGATCAACCGCGACATCTTCCAAGAATCCAACCACATACCTGCAACTTCGTTAGCCAAACATGTCGTGGCAAAATCAAGAAACTGTTTGGGACTCCAATTCATAACACCTTGGCCAACAATGCCACGCAAACGTCTGACCATCGCCCCACGACTGACATCCTCAGAAAACAGCCGTTCCAGTGACAACGGCAAGTTGTGCTGTTCTGCCCGCAATGTTTCCAATGCTGCCGCCACAGACAAAAAGAAACAGTCGCCGCCAGCGCCGGCATCAGCTGCAAAGGCACGCAGTCTGTGCTCGCGGAGCAAATAATCATCAGCAGCCCGGGATAAAGTCGACAACCGTAACTGCCAGCTCTGGCAAAACATCGTTCGATCTGCAGTAGATTTTCCAGGCCAGGGACGTTTCCTGTTGCCAACATCTGGTTGCTGAGTCTTTGACACTGCAAGGAGCCACACATTGTCTTCATACACAAAACCACCAGTTTTGTCCAAACGAATCGGCTTCGGCAATTGGTGGGCTGCCGGGAAGCCTGGTAAAGATTGCAAGGCTGTATCCCTTCAGCCACATCCTGCCACATGTACCGTGAACGCAACTTGCAACAATGTAATACTTCCCCTTATTTAATTCCGTCCGGTAAGATTGCACCAGTTTCACTACGAACAGCTAGAAACTTTCAAAACAACACAATTGTAAAACCCCGACGACAGCAGCCCCGCCTCCAAACGTTTCAAAAAGTCAGCAATATATTGCGGAGGGCCATGTTCGAAGACATCAAAATCGATGTCAGAGCCATCTGGCAGCATAGGCAGGTTCCTGAATAGGGACCATTCTAAACACGTGGCTCGACCCAGAATCATGTATACGTGTTGGGTATACTCCTCCGCAGTGAAATAATCGGGCTTGCTGAAATCAATAGTATGGCCCATGTTCCGCACAGTTTTGCCTTGTTGATTATTGTATGTTCCTGCCATCCACGGTGCCAATGGATATTGTACTCGAGTGACATCCAAGTAAATTTCCCCACGTCGACGAATTCGCAAGCGAAATTCGTCTTCGCAGGGATCCAAATGCCAGATGCCAGGCAAGCCTTCACCAGTGTAATCGTCTCCGCGATCTTCAACTCGAATGGTGATGCTTGCAGGCAAGTAGTCCAATCGGCAGATTCCTTCGGTCCAACACGGGTGTCCAAGTGGTGGTTGTGACAAGCCAGGTGGGCAGCCTGGAATACCGTATCTTTCTTCCGGATGAACATGGATCGCAACGATCTCTGCAGGGCATTCTTGCACGAGCTCTGGTGCCATCAACTTTTTGGTGATCTTCACGCGAAGTCCAACGTGCAAAGGTGCAAAGGCCATCAAATTGCACGTCTTCGAAGCCATATTGGTAATGGACAAGCACTCTTGCAGTACACTTTGATCAGCGAAGTATTCCTTCTGATGCACCAAATCAACTGCCTGCGCATAATAAACAACCTGCCTTTGGCAAACAAAAACCATTTCAGTACCTCGGCAAGCACCCTGCAAACATTGGCCAAACCGACGCTGGAAGGAGCGTCCCAAAGCAGGTGGAAAATGTCTGACAAACTGTCGCGGGCGACCATCCATCGTGTTCTGGAAAGCATGTACACCAAAGCTGCTCCGCGCCGATTCGTAAACAGTGATCTGCTGGAGGCGAGCCACTTGATCCCAATTGATTGCCGAAAACACACCATTGGCAAAAAAACCCGTTGGGCCCACTTGCCGACCGTCACTGTCACGCATAACAAAATTGCTATCAAGACGAGGATCGTTTGCTCTGGGGCGAAACAATTGCTTGCGTATCAAATCTTTGAGTTCAGGAGTCAGTGGGTGGAAACCTTCTTTTCGCATGTTCTCCAGGATCGCTGCCAAAGGGTCACCGGCTTTGAATCGATGGCTGCCTCGAAACAAAATCGTTTGTGGCAAAAAGCGATCGAAAATTTGCAAGCCCCTGCGATCAATCTGCTGCTTGCGCTGGCGCGACTGCTCGTCCATGCGTTCATATGTAGGTGCGCGGGGAACTTCCACTCCAAATATTTCCATCAAAGAATGGTTCAGGACTGGGTTCAATTGCAAAAAATCACCAGCCAGGATTTGGCACAAGATGTTTCCCAATGTATCATGTCCAGCTGCAGAACATCGTCAGCATCACGACTTCTCCGAGTCTTCCTCTTCCCCAGTGCCGGAGCCGCCGGAATGGATCCGCCCTCCGGGACTGAGCCACTGGAGCACGAATTCAAGAGAGACTGCCTGCCCCAGTGCGCTGCGTCATCCAAAACTGCAAGCAAAGAAGGAGGAGTCAATGAAATTTCAGAAATGCCAGAGCCACATGTTGCCATCGACGCTCCAATGCTTGCATTCTGTCCCGCGACGGCTTCTGTAGGCCGAGCTCCGCAGATCGTTTCAGCGCAGATATATAATGAAACGTCGCACCTGTGATTAAGCGAGCTGCGGAGTTCTGCGCTGCGATGCCTTTGGATGCCTTGGGCAAGAAATGTTCGTAAACCGGCAGTATCACTCGAGTGAGCATATAGGTTTTCCCCGAGCCACCAGGTCCATGCAAGAAGATTCGAGCAATCATGTCCTGAGCACGTCAAAGCGTTCCAGGGTTGCAACGGTTACGGGGAAAGTACATAATTTTCAAAACACCCTAAACATCACCAGGAACCGTTTGTGGCACCGATCTGCGAAGTCCCACAAACAAGCACCACCAACTAATAGGCAAAAACACAAAAACATGTCAGGACAAATTATCTAGCCAAGCACCGGAGTCACCAATGCCAGCAACTCGCGAAGGCGGCCACGTGCGCCGAAACAATGCTGCAGATCATGCTCACCCGCCTTGACCCATAATTTCTGCAGGGGCGCTATCGCCAACACACATGCCTTGTACTGATCTGGCGAGATTTGGTACGTACCATCAGCCTGACGTGTCGGCAGACGTTGTTGCAACAGTCGCAACGCCATGTCAGCAGGAGAGAGAACAAGTACCTCAGTCTCAGGAGCCATGCTCACGGGAACTTCCAAAAGACTAGCGTTTCCGGGCAAGAATTCATCTTTTGATGCGTCCATCAACTTTTCATCTTTTTCTTTTCGAGATTCTTGTAAAAACTTCTGCGCCTTCAAGCCAGCAACGACGTTGAAAGTAGCACGCCTCTGCACATCCGTGTCAGGAGCCCGTGCGCAAGGACGGGATTCTTTCATATCCAAATATTTTCCACCATATTGACGCAAGAATTCTTCTGAACGTTTGGTGCTGGCACTTGCCCGACCCGAGCCCACGTTCCTGCGATGCACCATGTCAAATAAATCATTGGATGCCACATGCAAGATCGGTTTGTATTGAATGTCCGGTCGAAGAGACGTGTCTTGATCCACATCGTCTGCATCTGGATCTTGAATGTCATCCACATCCTCTACATTCACGAATTCACCTTGTAGACCCACATCTTCTTTCTCATCGGTGGCAGTTGGATGCAAAACACCAGGTCTGGGTCGTCGCCGAGCTTCAGCCATGAAATCCAAATTAGCGGAAATTTCTCGGCTAATGGTGGCGACGTATTCCGCGGCTGTCAGTTGTTCATTATGCCATCCGTAAGAGCATCGCTTTGCAGCAGCCAAGTCTGGTCGATGCAACACACAAGTGTCAAAATGTTCCGGACTATTCCCGAGCAAAACAGCTTCACCGTCCTCTGTCGTCAAATGTCCCACATAATCGAAAATATTTCCAAGGATCCTTTCAGATACCAGCGGTACGGTACTGCAGACTGTCCGCTTGCGCCGACCTTGTTTCCAGGTGCGACGCGTCTTTGGGCGATTTGGCTCTGTAAACATCTTCAGCAAAGACTCCAAGACATCACAGCTTTCCACAGTTCCAGGAACTTTGTATTGGCGCAAAGCAGTTACGTCCACAACCTGCAGCAAACATGTGTTTCACACAAGGACATGTCCAAAATATATCAGTTCGATCAGTTGACAAAGCTTGCAAGCGGGAACATCTACACAAGAAGTGATACATGTGTCTATCATACATCTATGTCGTTTATGCAACCGCCAATCCACCAAAATCAAACAATGCAAAATAAACATATGGAAATATCCAGAACCGAGTAGCCGTGGCACATCTACGTGCGCATCGTAGCTTCACCTGTCCCCGGCGTGCTCAAAGACATGTTACAAGTCTTGTCATGGATGAACATGTAACTTTATGAAATTCCAAGCTGACAATATGGAGCAATGATGACTCGGCACGCCAAACAAAAAAAGAACCAAACAAAAAAAACAACAAAGAAGCGAACATATTCGAACAAGGCGCATCTGCGCGGTCTGCCAAGCACTGCACACGGGCTTCAGTAGCTTTCCATTCCGCCAGCACACCAGTGGAATCTCGCACTATACGAGCATCGTTGCCAGGAGACACCACACGCACACGCGACTTTCCAGGGAAGATGTGAATATGGCGAACAGCGCTCGCCTGACCGCAAACATTCTCATCTTCACAGCAATGTTTTCGAAGTAAGGCAATATGTACGGCAGCCCACATGTCCGGATCTTTCTGTTTTGTGGGCATCGATATTCCATGCAAATAAGGAATACGAGGAGCCGCATGAAGAACCTGCACATGCGTCTTCGCTTTGACATAGTGTTCCGAAAAATCAAACTCACCATGGTCAAACTTGCCGGCTTCCTGTAACGGCACAGCACTGACATGCATTGCATAGACATACAAGTTCATAGAAGCTAATGGCTCTGCGATTCCTCGATGCAAGTAGTCCTCATAGAAAGAAGTGGCCCGCGTGTCCGCTGCTTGTGCCCCTGCAGGCGGCAGCTCAATGTCCTCGACTGCAGCGGTTGTCTGTAGCTCAAACGAATCTGCGAGTTTTTCAGCGTTTCTGCGCATTTCTTCAAACACGCCCCAAAGTACTCGCTTCATCATGATGCGCCAGAAGATGTGCGTCCGTAACACTTCACGGCCTGTCATAAGCTGGAGAGACATGAGACAGAAGCCATGCATGACTGCGTGGTTCGCTGAAGTCCAAAGGCGGCACAAGCGGCGTCGGGCCTCCCGCTGCTCGGCAGTCAAGCCTCGACCTTCTCGCACCGCCGGCAGCGGGTATGCAAGCTGAAGCCGCTGAGCTTCCTCTTGCTCGGCTTCAGCTTGCATTTTCTCCTCCAGATTCTTCATCCCATGAGTCAAATGCTTCAGCATGGGTCCACACGTCATGGAAGGTTTGGTGGTGTAGTTGCAAGTATAAAAACTGGTTTGAATACCAGTGCGAATGCTTTCCACGACGCATTCTTTCACATATCCATGAAGAAGTCTGCATTCCGGGCTCAAAAATCGATCGCCCACTCGATTAGCATCGGCGGCACCTGTTCTCTCAAATTCCAACCGGTACAAAGCCAAACATGTCCGACTCAACCTTTTGCACATGAGGCCATCCAGATACGGTGCCAAAAACTGGGCTGCTATTTTCTGGGCACGGTCACTGACATCTGAGTTGCCAATCCACTGCAAACCCTGGTATGTCCAAAATTCATTAGCAAGAATGAAAGCGGAAGCAATGACAACTCTAAAGCGCACTCGCTGCTGCTGGCCTGTTGCATCCGATCCAAAAATCTTTGTTTGTCGTGCCAACAAGTCAGTGCCAGGGACTGAGCCACTGCTTCCAGACGACATCGGCATAGAATTTGCGCCCAGATCACGCAACAAGTCAAGTTCCTCCCTGTCAAAGCCAGCAGTCAACGTTCGACGACAATCCTGATAGTTCAAATTGCCCCGATGCGCCACCATAGCTGCCTGTTTGCGGCAAACATTTGCGCTCACTAGAACCCGTCACACGAAACAACAGTTCCAAAACTGACAACGAAAAAGTCTCTCTTTGTCCAACAGTCTAACAGCACAACAGGTTTCACACTCTAAAAACAACACTTCCAACCCGCACGGTTGGCAACAAATTAAATGCAACCGAGGCGCCGGAAGACACTGACCTTCTCTTGGATTATATTGCACTGTTTTGATCCGACCACATTGCGTTCCATCTTGATTTGTTTCAACATGAGATCCCAAAGAAGACCTTCCAGCGAAATGCTTGCCATCTAACGTCACACCATTTTGGAGAGACTCCAAAGTCAAGCGGCAACCTTCCCCGGTCCACACAGGCAGCAAAGGGTCCTTTCCGGTCCTTGCGACCACAACCTCGACCAATTTCGTTGACCGATCATCCATCAGCTTCTCTTTCCAGAGTCTCACAAAATGTGTAAAATGAAATCGACAATGTTGAGGCTTTCTGCGGCTACCTTCAGGAGCATACTTGAAACACGTGTTCTTGTGTTCGTGCAGGTGGCCAGACAAGGCACACACAGCATGCAAGTCTTCGCAAAAGTTCGCAAAACTGTTGCTGCATGTCTTCTTTCGCATCAATGGGAAAACTACTCGTCGAACGTTCCGCAGCATCTGTCCGAGCCTTTGCACATAGTGAGCACCTGCGTGCAGCATACAGTTGCGTTGAAAGCTTGCTGCTTAAACAAAACCCAACTTTGATTTATTTGCGTAATGTAAAGAGCTTCGTGTTTCGAGCAGGTCGCAAGGTTCCACACTGCCAAAAATGGGATTGCCACGCGCAACCGCTTTTCGCTTTGGACAGGGCCATTTCGAGGCTGTTTTCAATTTCTATTTTAATAGCAGGCGAGACCAAAAACGGGCGCGCCAAATCCACGAGTTGGAGCGTGTGGCAATCCTGTTTTTGGGGTTGCGACATGACGCTCGGAACGCACCCAGCTGCTTCAAAAGTTCGCCAGAAACCATGAAACCACAAAAGGCAGGAAGGATGACACAAACATCCACGTGCTGAACTGGGGAGGACCACTTCTTGGAGTCCAAAAAGCCAATGTGTTTACGGCCCCGAAAATGAGATTGCTGCAGTGACCTTTTTTGCGAAAAATTGCGCAGCTTTAACAAAAAGCAATACTCTTGCAAGTGTAACGGAATGGCAGGATTCCGGGGAACACGGTTGCTGATTGAAGGTCTCTATACCCCCGCCTGCATGTTGCCAATCTTTGCCAAAGCACCATGTTGTTTGGAATTGTTTGGGTGTTGTTGTCGCAGGCTTTCGCAACATGGCGTGGGTGAGGTGCTGATTCCGCTGCGACATTGCTGGCGGGATCCTTTTTTCTGTGTTTGCGTTGGCAGTGGATCGTTTTGTCACGATTGGGCGTCGCACTGCTCAGTTTTGTTTTGGTCTCTTGATGCGTTGTTTGTTTTTGGGCTCCCCCCCCTTCGCCCCCCTAGACTCCTAACGCGGCAACTTTGCGGGTCGGGTTGTGTATGTCGCCCGGAGTTCAGTATCATCCGGTTAAAGAATAATAGTATATTTAAAACCGGATGAATCCTTTGTTTACATTGGGGAAGAGTTTCGATTTCATGACTCCAGCAGATTCCGTAAGAAGGCTGGAGATGCAAAACTTCCGTTTTACCACAGTTTTGTGCCAGTTTTGATGTCTTTAGCTGCGGAGTCTTGCCGGAGTCGGGCGGAGTCGGTACACCTGCTGAAACCCTATTTACAATGGGGAAAGGGTTGAAAGAGTTCCAACTTTGTGACTCCAGACGACTCCGCAAGAAACCGCAACATGCGCAAGATGATGTCACTGAACTGTTCGATTTGTTTGATGCCCATTTTTGGGGTTGGAAAGGTATATAGAATTTGGACTCCCAAAGGCGGTCCTCCCCAGTTGCGTTGAAAGCTTGCTGCTTAAACAAAACCCAACTTTGATTTATTTGCGTAATGTAAAGAGCTTCGTGTTTCGAGCAGGTCGCAAGGTTCCACACTGCCAAAAATGGGATTGCCACGCGCAACCGCTTTTCGCTTTGGACAGGGCCATTTCGAGGCTGGTTTCAATTTCTATTTTAATAGCAGGCGAGACCAAAAACGGGCGCGCCAAATCCACGAGTTGGAGCGTGTGGCAATCCTGTTTTTGGGGTTGCGACATGACGCTCGGAACGCACCCAGCTGCTTCAAAAGTTCGCCAGAAACCATGAAAACACAAAAGGCAGGAAGGATGACACAAACATCCACGTGCTGAACTGTTGCGTTGAAAGCTTGCTGCTTAAACAAAACCCAACTTTGATTTATTTGCGTAATGTAAAGAGCTTCGTGTTTCGAGCAGGTCGCAAGGTTCCACATTGCCAAAAATGGGATTGCCACGCGCAACCGCTTTTCGCTTTGGACAGGGCCATTTCGAGGCTGTTTTCAATTTCTATTTTAATAGCAGGCGAGACCAAAAACGGGCGCGCCAAATCCACGAGTTGGAGCGTGTGGCAATCCTGTTTTTGAGGTTGCGACATGGCGCTCGGAACGCACCCAGCTGCTTCAAAAGTTCGCCAGAAACCATGAAACCACAAAAGGCAGGAAGGATGACACAAACATCCACGTGCTGAACTGGGGAGGACCACTTCTTGGAGTCCAAAAAGCCAATGTGTTTACGGCCCCGAAAATAAGATTGCTGCAGTGACCTTTTTTGCGAAAAATGGCGCAGCTTTAACAAAAAGCAATACTTTTGCAAGTGTAACGGAAACACGGTTGCTGATTGAAGGTCTCTAGCCCCGCCTGCATGTTGCCAATCTTTGCCAAAGCGCCATGTTGTTTGGAATTGTTTGGGTGTTGTTGTCGCAGGCTTTCGCAACATGACGTGGGTGAGGTGCTGATTCCGCTGCGACATTGCTGGCGGGATGCTTTTTCTGTGTTTGCGTTTGCACTGCTCAGTTTTGTTTTGGTCTCTTGATGCGTTGTTTGTTTTTGGGCTCCCCCCCCTTCGCCCCTTATAGACTCCTAACGCGGCAACTTTGCGGGTCGGGTTGTGTATGTCGCCCGGAGTTCAGTATCATCCGGTTAAAGAATAATAGTATATGTTTAAAACCGGATGAATCCTTTGTTTACATTGGGGAAGAGTTTCGATTTCATGACTCCAGCAGATTCCGTAAGAAAGCTGGAGATGCAAAACTTCCGTTTTACCACAGTTTTGTGCCAGTTTTGATGTCTTTAGCTGCGGAGTCTTGCCGGAGTCGGGCGGAGTCGGTACACCTGCTGAAACCCTATTTACAATGGGAAAAGCGTTGAAAGAGTTCCAACTTTGCGACTCCAGACGACTCCGCAAGAAACCGCAAGATGCGCAAGATGATGTCACTGAACTGTTCGATTTGTTTGATGCCCATTTTTGGGGTTGGAAAGGGATATAGAATTTGGACTCCAAAGGCGGTCCTCCCCAGTTGCCGTTCAAAGCTTGCTGCTTAAACAAAACCCAACTTTGATTTATTTGCGTAATGTAAAGAGCTTCGTCGTGTTTCGAGCAGGTCGCAAGGTTCCACACTGCCAAAAATGGGATTGCCACGCGCTACCGCTTTTCGCTTTGGACAGGGCCATTTCGAGGCTGTTTTCAATTTCTATTTTAATAGCCGGCGAGACCAAAAACGGGCGCGCCAAATCCACGCGTTGGAGCGTGTGGCAATCCTGTTTTTGGGGTTGCGACATGACGCTAGGAACGCACCCAGCTGCTTCAAAAGTTCGCCAGAAACCATGAAACCACAAAAGGCAGGAAGGATGACACAAACATCCACTTGCTGAACTGGGGAGGACCGCCTTTGGAGTCCAAAAGCAGCCAATGTGTTGACGGCCCGAAAATGAGGAAAAAAAAAAAAAAATTGGCGGCAGTGACCTTTTTTGCGAAAATGGTGGCCTTAACAAAAAGCAATACTTTTTGCAAGTGTAACGGAAACCGGTTGCTGTGAAGGTCTCTATGCCACGCGCCTGCATGTTGCGCAATCTTTGGCTCAAAGTCGCCATGTTTGTTTGGAATTGTTTGGGTGTTGTGTCGGCAGGCTTTCGGCAACATGACGTGGGTGAGGTGCTGATTCCGCTGCGACATTGCTTGCGGGATGCTTCTTTGTGTCTGCGTTGGCAGTGGATCGTTTTGTCACGATTGGGCATTGCACTGCTCAGTTTTGTTTTGGTCTCTTGATGCGTTGTTTGTTTTTGGGCTCCCCCCCTTCGCCCCCCTAGACTCCTAACGCGGCAACTTTGCGGGTCGGGCTGTGTATGTCGCCCGGAGTTCAGTATCATCCGGTTAAAGAATAATAGTATATATTTAAAACCGGATGAATCCTTTGTTTACATTGGGGGAAGAGTTTCGATTTCATGACTCCAGCAGATTCCGTAAGAAGGCTGGAGATGCAAAACTTCTTTTTTACCACAGTTTTGTGCCAGTTTTGGTCTCTTTAGCTGCAGAGTCTTGCCGGAGTTGGGCGGAGTCGGTACACCTGCTGAAACCCTATTTACAATGGGAAAAGGGTTGAAAGAATTTCAACTTTGTGACTCCAGACAACCCCGCAAGAAACCGCAAGATGCGCAAGATGATGTCACTGAATTGTTCGATTTGTTTGATGCCCATTTTTGGGGTTGGAAAGGTATATAGAATTTGGATTCCCAAAGGCGGTCCTCCCCAGTTGCGTTCAAAGCTTGCTTGAACAAAACCCAACTTTGATTTACTTGCGTAATGTAAAGAGCTTCGTGTTTCGAGCAGGTCGCAAGGTTCCACACTGCCAAAAAATGGGATTGCCACGCGCTACCGCTTTTCGCTTTGGACAGGGCCATTTCGAGGCTGTTTTCAATTTCTATTTTAATAGCAGGCGAGACCAAAAACGGGCGCGCCAAATCCACGAGTTGGAGCGTGTGGCAATCCTGTTTTTGGGGTTGCGACATGACGCTCGGAACGCACCCAGCTGCTTCAAAAGTTCGCCAG